AACTCCTTGGTCCAAACCATTTACTTAGAACACACCATACTTCACTTGAATATTTTAATTTTTTCTCAATTCACATCATTAATTTACATTTAATACCAAAATACCCTTTCTTCCTTAATCACAAATCCTAGCCTTAACGTAGCATCACCACCCACTACTACCATCGCCGCTGCCGTGACTGCTATCACCGAAATCAACAATCATCTGTCATTATCCCCTACCCAGCCACTAGCCCTCCCTAACTCCTCATTTCACCGCCTTTCCAACACCCTCTCGTTGTCGTTTGCACCATCCTCATTCCGTCGCCAATTTGCAACCGTCTTTCGCAGCCCCTCATTCCATCACCTCTGTGATCTATCTCTTAAGTCTTGTCGCCCCTCTCCAATCCTTTCCCAACCTGGCTTTCTACCATCACTCCCCCTTCAACCACCATTATAGTCGGCCATAACTACCTCACCACTACAACCCGACAACTTCGCAATCCTCCTATCCCCATAACTTCACCACACAGTAAGAGAGAGAGAGAGAGAGAGAGAGAGGGAGATTTGAAGAAGAAGAGTTGATTGGTGGTCGCGGCTGTCGCCGCCATCCTAAACCTAGATTTGACATCCAAATTTGAACCCTAGATCTAGGAGGAGAAGAAGAAGAAGAAGAACTGGATGCTGGAAAAGAGGTAGCGGCAACGGCAATGGCTATGGCCGATGGTGACGGTAGTGGTTGTGGTCGGTGGTGGTAGTAGTTGTGGTTGTGGCTGTGGCTGTTGGGGGTAGCTGGTATGGCGTGTGAATTGTGAGATTAGTGTCTAAAAGAGTAATTTGCTGAGGGATACTGGAAGAATTCTTTAAAAAAAAAATAGTAAATGGTGTGGACTAAGAGAAGCAATGGTGTGTAAATAGAATCACCCATAAATCAAAGTCTATTAAGTTTCTAAACTATTAATTGAATTTATTGAAGTCTTAAAGTATTTAATTCAAAAATATTTAATCCATGAAAAAATTACAAAAATAAAATATAAGCTTATAAGTATTATAAATTAGTCAAAGACTCTACTTAGGATGCCTCTATTTACACACTATAAATTATCTCAAGGCAAACCAACTTCTAAAAGAACACCTTTAATAATTTAATAAATATATATTTTGCTCATCACACACCATAAATTTACATATTTGTCTTTACTCACACACCCATTCACAACAATATACACACAAACTCTCATATTTACCCTCACTCACTCACACACCCCTATACACCCACCTTCGTCCATCTTCCCCCCTCCATTCTCAATTTCAAGCGATGAACACTATGTTAGTGCTCAACAAAGTCATTAAACATTAAACATTCGAAAACAAAAAGAAAAAAATATTAATTTTTAACATGAGACTACCTCATTAGTAATAAATTGACTCGTGTAGTCAACAAGACCCCAGATCCAACATTATTGCATTCCACGGATGCACAGTTTTGAAAAAAAAAAAAAAAAAATTATAACTGTTCGGAAGTGCAGAGTTGAATTAAATGAAATAGTTCGACCGTAGTAATCCGAACACATTTGTTCAGTTTTCGATAGTCGAACAAATGGAATATGTTCAATTATAGTTTGTTGAATATATGTAATTTGTTCGATTGTAGTTTGTTGAACATATGTAATTTGTTCAATTGTAGTTTGTCGAACAATGATATATTATTTACCTCTGGTTAGCCGAACAATGATTTACCACTCATATACGAAAACGAAGACAAAAATGACAAAAAAAAAAAAACTTTTTCATTGCACCATTCTTCCGAATGAGAATTGTCAGATGCATCCTTCATTGAATACAATTAAAATCTTCAATACTACTATATTTTTTATTATTTGTTGAAGAGTTTTTGATTTTGGTTTTAGGGTTTTTAGATTCTTGACAAAGAAGATATGTAAGAAACAAGTTTGAAAATGATGAATTATATTATATTGGTTCTTGTCCTTTATGGTAAATACACAAATGGTGTGTATCATAACTTGTCATCTATAGTCATTTCACTTAAGGTTAAAATTGTAATAAAAAATAAATTAATTAATGATTTGTCTTGAGAGAAAAAGTAGTGTGTAAATAGAATGACCCCTCTACTTACTTAGGATTTTATTCCAAAAAAATCTTAAATTCCTATTTTGTCTTTAAAATGTATTTTGCTTTCCTGTGTATTTAACTTAGGGTAAATTACACTTTGCCCCCTAAGTTTCACCCATTTCCCACTTTGGCCCTTTAAGTTTAATTTTTCTCATTTTAATCCTTCATGTTTGCAATCCTTCTCACTTTGGCCCTTTAAGTATAATTTTTCTCACTTTGGCCCTTCATGTTTGCAATCCATCCCACTTTGGCTCTTCATATTTGCAATCTTTCTCACTTTACTCCTAGACGAACTTCCATCCAAACTAACAGAATCTGCCACGTCACTAATACATCAGCTCTATGTGTGATGTAAAAAATTCACTATCGATGCAAAAAATATAAAATATAAAACAAAAAAAATTGAATTTTTTAGTGAACTTTTTTTTTCTTCAAATTTATTCATAAACATTATTACATTATAGATGCATTTAGATTAGATGCAGCTAAAAAAATAAAAACAAATTTAACTAAAAAAGAAAAAAATTTACTAAAGACAAAAAAAATGAAAATATACAGACTCAAACACTTGTATTGTCAATTCTGAAATGGAAAGTTTACCATCATTTTTTTCGTCTTCAATGAGCTTTTTTCTTTTTTTAATTAAATTTGTTTTTATTTTTTTAGTTGCATCTAATTTAGATGCATCTATAATATAATAATGTTTATGAATAAATTTGAAAAAAAAGTTCACTAAAGACTAAAAAAAATCCTTTTTTTTTTGTTTTTTATTTTTTTATTTCTTGCATCTTTGGTGAATTTTTTACATCACATATGGAGCTAATGTGTTAGTGATGTAACAAATTCTGTTAGTTTTTTTTTTATGAAAGTTAGTGTAGGAGTAAAGTGGGAAGGATCGCAAATATGAAAGGCCAAAGTGGGAAGGATTACAAACATAAAGGGCTAAAGTGGGAACAATCAAACTTAAAAAACCAAAGTGAGAATAATTGCAAACATGAAGGACCAAAGTGAGAAGGATTGTAAACATGAAAAGCGAAAGTGAGAAAAATCAAACTTAAAGAGCCAAAGTGAAAAATGAGTGAAACTTTAGGGGGGCAAAATGTAATTTACCCTTTAAATTAGTATCAGAACTTGATTTCTCAATCTTATCAATAAAATTATACCAGTATTAGATACATTGAAGAAGTAAAATCAAATAATTTAAACAATAATACTTCACTTTAAATAATAATAGAATAAAATAATACATTAGTTAAGTTATTAAAAGAACTTAAAGAAAAACTTAAAGAAAATCAATTAGAAATTGCAGGCAAAATTCAACATATAATACTAGATAAAAGCAAGTAGCTATTGTAGAAGACAAAATATAATTTTAAGGTTTTTTTTAAATAAAATTTTAATTAGGTAGAGTCTTTTACTAATTTATAATATTTATGGACTTTTATTTTATTTTTATAATTTTTTAGGGATTAAATAGTTTTGAATTAAATAGTTTAGAGATTTAATAAATTTAATTGATAGTTTAAGAACTAAATAGATTTTAATTTATATACTTTAGAAATTTAGTTAACTCAATCAATAATTAAGGGACTAAATAGATAATTTAGTAATAGTTGACGGTAGAAAGTGTAATAAACCCTTCTTTGACTCTACGGGATAAAGTGTTTCCACCCACCATAGCGGAATTGGCAAGCACTTGATCAGGGGGAGTTGAATAAGAGTTTTGATTTATATTTGTTAGTTTATGTATTTACTAGCAGCCTCTTTGGATGGATGTGGATTTGAAATATATGAATTTTCTTTCCCATGTATCCAAAAACAAAAATTGTATGAAATTGACATTAATAGAGAACAACTCAATAATTTACTTATAAATTGCAAGATTAATTTAATTAATTTTATCATAATGAAAATGAAATAACTATATACAAGCAATTATTTAAAATTATCCTAAGTATTCTCTTTCAACTAAAATACATTTCGTCTATCTCAACTTATCTTCTTTTATAGTTTTTCTATCCATCTATAATAACCAACTCTTCAATATTTTAAACCACAAACCTCTTTGATCTGTAATGAGTGGTGTTACCCCATCAATTATTTTGAACCCCTATTTTTTAGTTTTTTTTTTTTTATTACAATAATAACTTCAACTGAAACTACTAAAAATGATATCAATAATTTGGAAACACCCCATCTCACAATTAAACTCACACTCCCACTACATTATGAGTTAAGATTTATGAAAGCATCTACCTCCATCACTACCCATCCATCTCCAAATCTCACTTTCAAAACCTATATACCCTCAAAACCTTGAAAATTATTTAGCGACAATACTCTAACGACAACAGTGATAACCATTTGATTACATACACTTTCCGACAATGACAATGAGTGAAAGTTTTTTCAATAACCACAAGTACAACAATAAAAACTCAAAAGAGGTTCATAACTTTGATGGTGTTCTTAGCTCAGAAGAAATTAGTTTTATAAATGTAAGTTTTTTGAAAAAATTGACGAAAATAATAAAAACTGTTCGTCGCTTTTTCGGGACTAAGGGCTAGTTTGGCATGTACTAAATAAGCCAAAAAGTCAAAAAGTCACTATCTTATTTTAGTCACATCATCTTATTTAAATCACATCACCTCTCTAACACATCACATCAAACCCAACCCAAACCCACTAATAAGTCAAAAAGTGCACTTTTTTAGGACATCCCAAACCAACCCTAAAATTCTGAACATATGACAGAAATTTAAGAACACTGGCCCAAACATTGTTTATTTGTTCGGAAATATGTAACCAAATCTTTCTTATTTGTTTCGGAGCAGATAATTGAAACAGTAGTAGAAGCAAGCAAAAACGCTCTAGGTTTAAACAAACGGAGAGTAAAAAGGAGCTTGGTAATTATGTTACAAACTCCAAACTGTACAAAGATATTAAATCACCGCAACCAGAAAGAACTTGATGGCTTATTATGTTTTATTTCTGTTTTGACCAAATATGTTAAAGTAACACTGAAAGCTACACTGGAAAACATTTGACATGATCATTAAACATGAGCCAAGGGAATTCATTCCCCAAATCAATTAAAGCAACTAAGGTGGTGGACATTATAAACATAATCAACTAACTCATAAAAGAAGATTCCAAGGCACTCTTAACTCTACCAATAATGTACAAAGGAGCACATTCACCTATTTCACTGTCTCGGCTTCTTAAGGGATGGCTGCAGTTGTGGTTCAGCCTGCTGCCACAACATCAGAAGTAGTTATTAGAAAAGAAAGGAAAACTGAGTTCACTTAGGCTGTGTTTGGATCAAAGATTTGAAGAGGGATTTGTAGAGGGCAAGGAAAAAGGGAGGGAAAAAGAAATTTCCCCCACTTTTTCATTTCCTTTTCATTTCCCTCCTAGAAATCTCCACTCAAATCCTTGACCCAAACAGCCTTAACAAATAAAATGACCTGAGAGTTTAATTAAAATGACCTCAGAGAGGATCAAAATATAATTTAAAGGAAACATCAAAAATTTTGAACTGCACATCCTAGTTCAAATTATAAAATCATTAGTGGTCCAACAAAAACCAACTAAACTAATTTGCTAAACAAACAGAGTTTTGACTGCAGAGTTAATGGCACAGCTGTACAAGGGAGAAAAAACCGTACCAGAATGATGAATCATAATTAAATTCATATTAATTACCTTTCATGTTTTCTTTTCTCCTATGCTGGGATTCAACTCAGTTAGCATTTAGGAACATATTTAATAACTTAAACTTGGTTCAACAGATTGAAATTAATTCGACTGTTTTTGAAAATTTTACAAGTACAATGAAATCTTCAACTTTTACGTCTTATATATTTTACACTAAAAAACATACTTAATCTATATATGCACATACAATAATCTGTGTATACACAGTTGATTAGTCTTCAATTTTAATAATTCCGACCTCGTAGATACAATTTGTAATGCCCCACTCTTTTTTTCTTTTTTTTTTCTTCTTTTTTTTCTAACTAGATATGATAACTTATAGTGCTAATGTCAAGTAGTGAAGAAATATACATCAAGGGGTGAAGATATAGGATATACTTTCCACAGTTAACCTATAGTTAGTTCTACTCTAGTTTAACTCCGTTATCCCATTTGGAGCTGTACCAAGTTTGAAAATGAATTTGCATAAAGCAAGTTGACATTTATTGAAGGAATTCTGAAGAAAAAAAAAAAAGGCTGGTAACAAGAAATTGGCCAATGCATAAATTTTAAGTTGAGTGTGCTTTTTCTTCTTTTGGTAGTTTCGGAATCGAAGGTATTTTTGTAATTCCTTAAGTTGTCAGACATGACTGCAGTTGTGGTGGAGCATAGGTTATCTCAAATATATTTATCTATGGTATTTCTCATATCTAGATAGCCAAAATTATGTAGTCTTTTCAACTTGCTAGTCCCACTAGCAGCAGGGAAACCCAGCAAGCCAGTAATATCAACATTTGGTTCATTTAATAAAAGGTAGATGAGATTATGGAGATAAGTGGCATGGTAATGCTAAAGTTTACAAATGGCGTGGCAAAAATGCTTCTAAGTCTCAAGCATTGATTTGGCATGTGTTCGATGATGCCAGGCCCACTTGGGATCTAGAATAATTTAGTTTTTAGTCTTTTTAGCAGTACTTATTCTTTATGGGTAATTCTATTCGCCACCACACTTCATCTCAGTCTATGAAGCACGGATATGGGTACGGGTACGTGTATGATATATAGGATACAGGTACGGCTTTGGTACGTTTGAAAAAAATATTTACTTTTAATTAATTTGGAATAATGCAAAAATTAATTAAATGTATTAATTTGTTAAGATCCAACCTACAATTAATATTTAATGCTAAAAGTAAAGGTACAAACCAAAATTAAATGTTATTATATTAAATAACTTACAAATCATAACTTAATTTTAAAATCATACTAAGTATAAACTAAAAATAAAAAAGAAGTCTAGTGAAAGGAATTTTATCTCCATAGTTTAAGAAAATATTGTTTTGAGTGAGGTATGGTATGACATAGGTATATAATAGGTACGTCAGGGTACATTAAAAATTAAGAAGAAAAAATTTAAGTCCGTGTTTCATGTACCCGGAATGTATGCAGAAGTAAAATACAAAATACCATATGCCGGTAAGTACCGGGTACTGGTACAGCATGTTTGTTGAAGTACCCATGCTTCATTGATCTCAGTATACACCATTTATGTTGTTTGGATATCAATTTCTGAACAAAAATCAAATGTTCAGACATCAACTTCTGAACAAAAGTCAGTTTTTCGGATATCAACTATTGCCTGGGATTTATACTTGAACAATTCAATTTTGTACAAAAGTTGATGTTTGAACATTTGATTTTTGTTTGGAAGTTGATATCCAAACAACACAAATGGTGTGTACTGAGAATTTCTGTGGTGTGCAAATACAATTACCCATTTTTTATTTGAGTTTTGTTATAGGTTCTTAATGATTTAAAGGTCAAGAAATTTTTTGTAATTTTCACACATTACTCCGAACGAGCCGCTGTGTTGACCATGGGTCTTGGATCTTATTGGGATGAGTAGTGACATACAAACTTCAGAATTTCTATATAAAATGGTGTTGCTCAATGTAGACCTGTCACTTTAAATCAAAACACCATGGTGATGGCTTTTATTTAACATGGCTACATCATTCTTGAGGTATTTTTTCTATGAATAGAGTTTTCCTTTGGTATTAGCTAGGTTTTTGAAGTCAAGAGTTCAGAGTTTCTCAAAATTTTAAATGTTCCTATTTTAGAAATTCTAGTCCTAGTTGGTGTTGGAAGCCTTCAAACTCTACTACAGCAATGTTATGCCCCTAATTCAATGATGAACATATTTTGGAGAATTTTGTGAATCTTTGAATCTCTTCTGTGGATTGTGTGCTGCAATCCCAACCCCAAGTTTCATGCCCAAAGGATTCTAGGAGTGACTCCTAGTTTCTTCCTCTTTTCTTTTCAATTTTCTGCACCAAATCTTCAACTAACAGATTTGTTTAAGCTTTCTTTTGATCATAATAAACTCTACTCAGCAAAGCTCATCCTCGAACTTGAGTGTAGCTTAAGTGGTTGCACCTCTAGGTTTGTAGAGGGGGGTTTGGAGTTTGAGCATATAGAAAAACATCGAACTACTGGTTGTCATAACCAAACTTACTAACCTACTAACATCCTATTGCATGGCAAAAAAGAAAGAACAGAGCTTATCCTCTCCCTCAAGGAAACTTAAAGCCTAGTCCTCTTGAAATCCTGAAACACCAATATCTAATTCATGGGTACAAACTACTAACCACTAAACAGCCTCAATTTTTCCACCAATATCCTGTTCACATAACAAGCCTTGGCCATTTTTTCACTAATCAAATCCTGACAGTCTAATAAACTTGTATTACATCTAGTGGTGCTGCATCATGAGATCCAGAGAATTGAAGATCATTTGATATGTGGTATGACCTAATCCTAATAAATGAAGCCAAGGGACTTCAAGGTGAGGATCCCAGAAGAATATTTTCCTCTTCCTCCTTCGACTGCAATAAGATTTTTGCTATTTAAATTACAACCAACTCATAGTTTCTTTACATTTTTATTCTAAAACCATAAAACAACTATTAACACTTCCGACTACCTTTTGACCTTCTATTTAGGATTCATCAATCCATAATAGTTGTGCCCATATTCTCTATCAGCTAGTTTTCTGCCATTCCAGTAACTTAACTATAAAACATGAAACAGAACCCTTCTACCATGGAAGGTGCCACATGTCACCCCTTAAGAAACCAATAATGATATTGTGCATTTTATGGAATCATTTAAATCCTGAAATGTTAATAAATAAACAGCACTATAATATCTTCTAAAAACTCATAGTCTTTGAAGAATTCTACATCTCTTCTGCTTCTTTTTTTTTAAGAAGCTTCTCTATCACCATAATACTTGTTTTCATAATCAGAATGCCACTTTCCAGGTTGTCCTCATTATACCAAACTGAACACTGAATTCAATTTGGGCCATCTAAAATCTACCATTGTTCTGCACTTCAGCTGTTTAAGGTCAGTAAATGTCGTCTAAAAGTTTTTTTTTTTTAAATACATTTTACAGAATTTGGAGATATTAGCTGCAGGATCCAAGCACTCTTACTTGGCATGGCATGGCCTAAAAAGAAAGAGAAGATTCAGAAAGAAACCACATTTTTTGTTATCAAGAAGTGACGTCATTTTTTATTTATTCTCAGAGATTTTATTGGGGTCAAATTGTGCAAAAGTCCCAATATTTAAAAAAAAATACTAACCTAGTCTTGTTATTTAAACTCGCTGGGATCAGCTGAACGCAATTTTCTACTATGTGACTGTCCCTGTTGGTCTTGACTTGAAATAAAAACTACCCAGGATTTCAAACACTCTCTTAACAATGGCAAATATACAAAGGATTATATGCTTACATTGTTCAAAAGTTGCTCGCGAATATAGGCCATAGATCGTAGCATAGCTCCAAGAGTATCTCTAGAGACTTGAAACTTCACCTCTTTTTCCCCAGAAATTGCCTCAGAATCTTGAAGCTGGAAAACAAATAATCATTTTTTGAAAAAAAATCAATGCTAACAGTACATGCATGAACATAAGTAAATTTCAAGTCAAACCCTCAAAAGCCAAATTTTGAAAAACTACAAAATATTATTTTCCATTCAGCCGTATCCAGAGCTATATTTTCCATCAAAATCCTTTGTTTACATGATACATCTCTATGAACAAAATAGTGTACTCATAGCTATAAACAAAACTGCATATTCTAGGTCCTTACCAATTTTTAACTTTTAATTTACAAATTGGATAAGATAGTGCAAAATAAATTGAACCTGGTATCACTGTAACTCATTTCTGACAAGAAACTAAGAAATATATTGATCATTCTGCAGGAAAAAAATCATTTCTTACATGAAAATAGAGATATTATTGATAAAATCAAGGATGTACAAAAAAGATGGCATATCGGAGAAAAAGAAAAGGCAAGCTATAGAGAGAGAGAGATTAAGAATTTGGGTGGGGAGGGGGTCTGGGGCATGGTGGAGTTCGGCCGCGCTAGCCTGCTAGGACAAACTAACAAAGATAGAGATATTACGAATTCGGGCGGGGAAACGATGGTGACCTGAGGTGTTGGCATGTAGTGGTGATGGTAGAGTTTGGCGGCTATGGTTGGTTTGGTTAGCACAGAGAGAGGTTCATACCAGAGAGAGAGAGAGAGAGAGATGAGGTGGGACTAGTAAAATGGGTTTTGCAATGCCAGACAATTCTTCCTTTTACTAGAACAATACATTATCAATTAAAGCAATAGATGCTTCTATTTTGATCGAGTAAAAGCAAGATTTGTTATGATATTAGCAGGTATTGAATTTAGTTTCTTTTTTTTCTTTTTTTTTTTAATTAGTGGCAAAATGTGGTTGACTCCTAGTATTTACCCCAAAAAAGTTTAGTTATTTTTGTTAACAAAAAAAATGAGGTTTTTATTTATTTATTTCGTTATTTCATTTTCATATGTATTTCATTTAATATCACTACTCGTTTGATTTTTTTATGTACTTATTTCAATTGATTCAAGTGAAATTAATTAAGAAGAATAGAGCTAAAAAAATAAATGCAAACAAAAAGCAAAGTCAACAAAGATGGGATTGGTTCATTTATCTATCATTATTTCATATAACTATTCAATTTTTAGGATAATAAAATGCATGTTAAATGCAAACATGATCAAATTCATATAGTTATTGAAAGGAGTTCTTGAAGGATTCAATGAGAAAGATCAAGGTGCATTCGTGTTTTTTGCATCGTCTATGTGATTGTCTCGTAATTTGGCTTGCTCTTTTGTTCCTGATTTGCTCTCATCTACAATAATATGATCACATGGGCTAAAGATCTGAATTGTTAAACAATTATGTTGGAGTGATTAGGTTGCCTGTGCATTTGTGGAATGAAACAGTTTTCAGAAGGATTGGGGAGGTTTGTGGAGGTTTTGTTCTTAGTAGCAGGAATCATTGAAGGGACTCATGTTTCTAATGAAGAAGCGCGATTTTGCGCTTCTAAGGAAGAATCGCATAAGAATGGCGCTTCTAATGCAAGAGAATCGCGATTAGGGCTTCGACTAGGGCTTTGATCGTCTTCATCCCTCTTTTCTCTCACTATTGATCTCGATCGTCTTCGTCTCTCAGGGCTTCGATCGTCTCTGTCACTTTCTTCTCTCACTGTCGATCTCGATTGTCTTCATCTCTCTCTCTTCCCTCACTCTCGATATCCTCTTCATCTCTGTTTGCTTCTCTCTCTCAATCTATTCTCTGTTCTCTCTCTCCCTCTTTGTTTTCATATTTGTTTTATATAATATAATTTATCATAAACAATATAATTTTTATATCTAAAATAAAAAATTATTTTTTTATCATATATAATATAATTTTTATTTGTTATTTCTTTTTTATTTTTTTAACAGAATTTATTATTTCTTAACTTTTTAACATATAATAAATAAAATAAATCATCTAATTATTTAAAAGAAATCTATTTAAATCATATATAATAAAAAAATTCTTAAAAAATTTATAAAATAAAATATCTAATTTTTATTTATTTATTTATTTTAACATAATTTATTATTCCTTATTTATTATAATAAATAAAATATAATTAATAAAAGTAATACATAAGGGCTCCTAATTTACGACTCCTCTAAGTGGCCATGTTCCCCCGCTCCCGCTCTTGCTCCCGCTTCGTGCAACTAAGGTTTTGTTGAACTGACAAGGAAATGAAGAGAAGCTGTTTTTGGTAGAGAAAGATGTTGGTGAGATGTCTAGGACACCAGATTTTGGTGTCAAGATGGGTCCATGGAGATACAATATGCCCGATTTTGGTTGATTTATGCCTTGGAACCAACGTTCTGAAAAGCGGTTGCGGTTGCGGTTGCCGTAATGGTGGCGGTGGCGCGATTACGGTTGCGGGGTGTAAAGGCCGTAGTGTAACGGTTGCGGTAACCAGAACCGTGAATTTTTTTTCTTTTTTGCACAATTTGAAAAAAATTTACAAATATGCATATTTTTTTTCCATGATCATATTTATTGGGTTAAAAATAAATATTGATCAATTTTTGTAAATTTTTAAGTATGATCCAATATATTTCATATTTTTAAATCACTATAAACTGAGTTTTTTACATTTTATTTTAATAATTAATGACTTTATATTATACAAAAAATCAATCACTAACTATTATATATAAGATAAACAATGACAGGAGTAAGAGAATAAATAAGAGCCTAAATATATATATATATATACATATTTTAACCAAGCCAAATAGATAATGACCACACTTATTATTATTATTATTATTTTCAAACAATATATAGATAGACACACACAAACAAAATGGTTGAGTGATAGGTGGAAATTTGAATTGTGACCGGAGATGTAGAAATGGTCAAACCTGAAGAAGACAATGGGAATTGAAAGTGTTGCCTAGCGATCACAAGGGAGCAGTCCACCAAAGGCTACAGTGTTTGGGGAAACACATGGCATGAGAGAAGCTTATGGAGACGGTGTTTAAATTTCTAAAGGGGGTAGGTTGCACCTAGAAGGGAGAGATGGAGAGCCAAGATGGGATCCATGTGGAAACAACTGTGGGTGATTATAGCTTATTTTAATTTGGGACTGTTTGGTGCAGCTTCTGCTTATAGCTTATTAGATAAAATAGGTTATATAAGCTAAGAAAAGCTAATTATTTTGAAACTGGGGAATGAGTGCTTTTAGCTTCTATTTTCTAATTATCAGTTTTTAGCTTAAGAAAAGCTCTACCAAATAGGGCCATGTTACAGAGACTAAGGTACAAATAATAGGTGAGGGTGCATGTTTAAGCGGTCAGATGTTTCAAAACATAAATCTTAGGATATTACGATATGCATCTAAAAGTTAGGCATGGGTATCAAAACACATCTTAAACACTTACATATATTTGTATATTGCATAATATTCTTAGATAAGATGTAAATTATTGGAAATGTATTTCAAAATAAATGGAAAGTAAGGAAAATATGGAATTTATATATCTCATTCATGTTGGAAGATAGAAATATTTATTTACTAGAAAATGCAAGCATCTTCTTCTTCAATTACAATATAAAATTAAAAGATCCAAGTATCTAAATTGGGTACGGGTGTTAGATACATATCCCACACTTTTATCCTTGTCATACCCAAAGGACACGAGTATACTAGGGGAAGTAGAAGAGTTCAAGTAATATAGGGAAGAGACAATGGTGTTTGGGTTTCAAGACCAGAGGTGGGGATGGACTTGATGAATGGGCCTAATAAAGAGGGTCAACCAAGTTCCTTAAGGTGGGCCCTGTAGAGGAGGAAGTGAGCCAAAGTGGGTTGGGAAGGCTCGAACCCCAGTTTTAGGGCACAACCTAGCAGGCAAAAGGCAAGGAATGGGGGGTTTGGGCTTCTCTAATGGAGCCCAAAATCTATTAAGGGCAGACCTAGTGAGAACATGAGTAACAGTCATTGTTCCAGAACAGGGCAATACACTAAGGCCTCGTTTGGGAACAGGCTAATTTAGTAACTTTTTGGCTATTTGGCTAAAAAGGTAAGTAAAAAAAACTTGTATGTTTGGGATGACTTTTTGGCTAATTACGAAAAGATGTGCAAAAAGTAGAGAGAAAAGAGAATCTTTGACTTTTTGGTATGAGTTGTTGGCTTTTTGACTAATTTAGTAACTTTTTAGCTAATTGGCTAAAAAAATTAGTCCCCAAACGGGGCCTAAAGGACCTAGTTTTGTAGGTCGTTCTGTGAACAAAACACAAGGAGATTGGGGCATCTAGGAGGTTTTGACACAATTGATGGCTTTCAACGGAAAAAAGGCAATATCAATAGCGGCAAGGCTCAACAGTGAAGAGGCAAAGGTAAAGTGTCAAATAGAAGGAGACTGACAACGGAGGCTGAAATGTGACTTTGCTAGTACCAGGCATGGTATTCAAAGATGAAATTGGGGAATTCAAGTAGAAGGCCCCAACTAGAGGCCGCAGATGGAACGGAAACAGAGATATGTTTAGCTTTCAGTTCTGATCCCAATTTTGACCAGGGTTGCAGATTTGGCCCCCTAGCTTGTTTGGCTGAAGAGGATAAGGAGATCTTTTCTAGAAGGGAAGGAAGTGGTGAAGGGAGGAGGTTGTTAGCACGTGTTTTATTTTTGACGAGGGGGTCTGTTAAGGTTGCAAATGAACCGAGCTATTCACGAACAGGCTAGGTTCAGCTCGGCTCATTTAGTAATCGAACCGAACAGAGCTCGAGCTCGAGCTCGAATAAGCTCGGCTCGTTTATCTTTATTTAAATTATATAATTAATATATCATTTATATATTAAATAATATAAATAACATTTTTTATTTAAACAATACAAATAATATTAAAAAAAATCTTATCGAGCCAAGAAGAGCCGAGCTCGAGTTTCATTAATATTAACGAGCTGAGTTGAATCGAATTTGAGCTCAATAAACGAGCTCAATAAGCAAACGAGCCGAGCTCGAACTCAGCAAAGCTCGGCTCGGCTTAGCTCGTTTGCAGCCCTAAGGTCTATGCTTGCATCAAGCTACTACCTTGGGATTGGGATAATAGAGAGGGGATGGTTTGAAAATTCGAAATATTCTTTGGATTGGAATGAATTTGTAAAAGATGCGTCTGGGGGAGTGGAAGAGCAATCAGGGAGCAAAAGAAGGGGATATAACAGAGGTTGGTCCCTTAGCAATGATTAGGCCAGAACAGGACATTGGATTTGGTTAAAGTCATGAACGAAGTGGGTGAGAAGTACACCTTCTGACAAAGGGGGAAATCTAGGGGGTGAAAGTCTCTGCATGGGCTGTAAAGAAAATTAAAGGCTCTAGCGGGCTTCTGTTAGGAGGGCATGGAGGAGGAAGGTAACAGTTTTTTAAAGCCATTGAAGAACCAAAAAAAACATGGTGGCAAGATCCCCGAGGAAGGTGCAAAATACTGGAGAACATAGGCACAAGAGGCAGAGGGAATTGAGAATCCTGGCATGTCCCGTCAACTATTAATGAATCAGATGGGGTAGTCAATTTGTTTACTTTAATGAGGATTTCAGTTGGAATGTGAGGAAGCTGAACATGGAGGATAAGAAAGTGGGAGTGAAGTGTCTACTTTGGAACAGGAGGACTGACTTGGTGTGTCTTCAGGAAACTAATATTGAGTTGATAATAGAACAATTAGTCAGAAATGTGTGGAGTGAAGTTTCTACTTCGACGTTGATTTTAAAAACTGTCTCTTTTTTCTTTTCACGACTTGGGTATAGAGTGACATTCAATACTGCATTAAATGGAAGTGAAGATGCAAATGTCCACATCTACAGCATCTAGAACTTCAAGAAGAACAAAAAAAAGGGGCATTGAATGGCATCAATTAAAAAGCAAAGGAGATGCAATAAGGCATCTTCTCTATGTAATCCCCAAGCCAACTGTCCCAACAAAACATGGAAATCAGTCCTGATTTAGAGGACCAACACCATCTTGAAAGCCAATCTACAAATAACTCCAAGAAAGCCTCAAGGTTGCCCAGCTCTTAACAATCATTCTAATGAGAACCCATCTGAAATATGTTAGATGTTCCATCTCCAACACAATGTACCATAAAGCTAAGATCTTGCACAGGCTCCCAACTATACTAAGGCTGAAATCTTTGAGGTCAGCCACTCCTCTGAATTACTTGTAATTGCATCAAACTAGTTGCTCCAATCCCACATTCCACACTCGTAGTCTCATACTAAGCTTCTCAGGACACAGCAACTGCACTAGAGTCTTTAAGATCCCTCCAGTTTCACCATTAAACTACAATGACTTAAACAAGAGAACAAAGGTAAAACTCCACATCAGATCATTGGATATTTAAAATCCACCATTAATCACTTTAGCCCTCAGCTATTTGGTATTGCACTAAGTTTCTCTTGAACTTGATTTTCTACCCATATCTAATTAATTAATAAAACCCTCTCAACTCAACTCAACTTAACAACCCCAAAGCTCAGTACTTTGTGCCAAGGACATGGATCCCATCCGTCCTATCTGCTGTGTTTAATAATTGTGAACAACTCTAAAGTACCAATTTTTTTAATGATATGAAGCTAATGACTACAAGTTACAATTTGAAATCAAGTAAGATGTGCATACCTTCAAATTTATCACGGCAACCTGATTGGCCGGTGTTGCCAACTGCTGACCAATGTATGTCATAGATTTAAGCATGGGTTCCAGTGTGACTTTAGAGAGCTGAAACTTCACTTCTGTCTCACCTGAAGGACCCTTGCTATTGTCTTGAAGCTGAAGTGGGAAACAAATAGAAAGGAATGTTTCTGGTCAATTAGTGGGCACAAAATCCAAGTATCAATCCCCCCCCCCCCCCCCTCCTTGCCTTTTGTTATTGTTTTCTATCCTTTACTGAATTTCAAACTCTTATGTAGTGTTTGGTTCTCTTGAATGAAACAAGATGGAATGAAAATCCCTGGCCTCCCTATGAGATGACTATTCCCTTACAATAGTGAATGATGATTCCATTTGTAATACATTTTCTATTATTTTTTTAATGAAACAAATGTAAGAATGAGCATTATGATGGAATGATCATTCTATTCCACTTCATTCTAGTGACCCAAATAGAGCATTACAAATTACAAAAAAATGGATTCATAAGTTGCATGAATAAACTATTAATCTCGTCCCCTTTCAAGGTAGCAAAGACCTCAAATTCTCATTTCGTTAGATTGTTTTATACCGAGTTAATATAGATCTGTTTTCAACCCTAAAATATTGAATATGTTGGTATCTAAAGAAAAAGTTATAACTTGGCACAAAATGAGTAATGCAAAATCAACCTGGCTTGCAATAAGGAGATTAACTCGTAAATAAAACATACATACCTTAAAATTGATGACAGCAATTCGTTTGGCGGGCCTTAGGTTCTTATTTTCCATGAACCAAGTCATGGACCTGAGACAGGGAAGAACAACCTGCATAGAGAATGAGTATTAAAAGAGGCCAAGTGCCCAAATTTATTTCATGCCCACAATTATCTAATTCTTGTTTTTTATACCACTTCAACAACTAAACAAAATCTAATTCATGTGGCCTCATTTCATACCGTGTTATCAGGAGGGCCATCATCTTGTTGAAGGGATAGAGGGGCCATGAAGGGAAGACTTTTTTGAGGCGTGGGTGTATGAGCACCAAAACTATTATTGTTGAAGTTATGTGCTGCTTCATCCTGATGAGACCTCCATGGAACTCGATTCAAATCTGAACCATACCAAGGTGGTAGAGGTTTTACTTTTTCTAACTGGGGCCATAATAATGGAGTCATATCCGTTGTCTGAACATGTATTTCCTTGTTACCATCCTCCTGGCTTCCACAGACCTGCAACTTGGGTGTAACCCTCGCAACATTTTTCATTGTAACAGCAACCTTCTTCCCACCCTCTCTGATGGCATTCATTGCCGCATTATATGTTTCCACAGATATTGCCCCTTCCTCTGCATACCTCATGGCTTCCCGACACAAAATATTGTACCGTGAGGTCAAAGACTCAGAAGCTTCCACTTCGATGCCTTTATCATCTGAGCCAGCCCCATTTTTTGCATGTCTTGTCCATCGCTTCACAATGTAATGGGGTGGCAGTGTAAGAACATTGGTAACAGTGAAAACTGTCAATACATGTCTACAAAGAATTCCAGAGTATACAAACATCTGACAGCTGCAACTTGCTCTCATCTCAGGAATGTTCAATGAGACCATGTATGCTTTCTGCTGATCCTCAAATTTTGCAACTCTAAATGTGCCGAATGATCCATCACCCCTTTCTCTATTTGCAGTGTAGGCGAAAGTTTCAACTAATTCGTCTTGAAATTTCATGAATATTCTCCGGGTATAAAGGTTTGCTGCCTGTTTCTCCATAGGTGATGGTGTCTTCAAGACTGGTGTGGAGCGTATTGTATCAAAATCTGCTTCTATTTCCTTCTTAAAACTTTGTTCTAAAGCCCTTTCATACTGCCTAAAGAACAATGGCAAGGTAGTCTCTTGATCTACATACCCATCAAAGAAGGAATGGGCAGCTTCACTCCCTTGGTCTGAAGGAAATGAAGCAAAAAAGGTATCCCGAAAGTATACAGGGGCCCAATGTTTGCGAGCATTGTACAATCCTTGAAGCCAATCATTTTTCATAAGATGGTATTTATCAATGATGGAGCTCCATGATGATTCAAACTCTTCTATTGTCTCAGTCATGTTAATGCAGTTATATAGATCTCCTTGAAAAGTAGGATGAGTATTACATACGCGAGCCAACCTTCTCTGCCCTTCTCTCAAAATGTGCCACTTGCAGATACGATGACGAGCACTATGAAACACCTTAGAAACAGCTGACTGTATCAATTTATCTTGGTCAGTTGTAATAGCAAGGGGTGGCCGGTCATTCATTGCAGCGAGCCAAGTCCTAAAAAGCCACAGATAGGATGATTCCAACTCGTCTACAACTAGACCACACCCAAACAACACCATCTGGCCGTGATGGTTCACCCCCGTAAATGAAACAAATGGCACCACGTAGTTGTTTATTATATATGTTGTATCAAAAGTAACTGCATCGCCAAAATGACTGTAAGCTGTTCTAGACCTCGCATCAGACCAGAAAACATTAGTCAGGCAATTACTCGAATCAAGTTGCACTGCATAATAAAAGCCCGGATGCTCAGCTTGCATCTTCTTAAAATAGTCTAGGAGATTCTGAGCATCTCCAAGGGCCTTCTTCTTCTGGGTTCGTCTGGGAACAAGAGTTTTAGCCCGAGGATTTGCACGATTCTGTTCAACCAACAAATGACTGCCATCCATGGAAGCATGTGTGCTAACATTGGATGAAGCCCGGGCCTTAGAATAAGAATGATCGCCCTCTTCACTGTAAGATTGATCCATGGTCTTTGCAGCACCAGCAAAGGGTCTGCGAGGTCGGAGATAATGCACCTTACTGGGAGTCACAGTAGAGTGGCTATGCTCCTTCACAAATTTTATAACAAGCCATTTGTCCGGATCCTTTCTTTCAATCTTTAGCATGGCATTGCAGCTTTCAGAATTTTTCTTTTTCAAGCCCTCCCTTGCACATAAAAACTCTATAGCATTAGTTTTACCATCAAGCTCAGAACAGTTACACTGACCGATACGGGTATTAAAACCCACACGCCTTGCATATTCATCGTAGAAAGTCTTGGCAGCATCTTCAGATTCAAACTCCATACCCAGATGCGGCTCATCAATCCCAACCTCTTCCTGGGTCAATAGTAAATTCTCGACACAATTATCAGAGCCCGCCACTAGCTGCTCATTAATTTCAGCATCTCCTTCATCCACTTCAACATAACGACCCACATTCTCTACATTTATTGTTTCAACATCCATCTCTTCTTCTCTCTGTCTCTCTCTCTATATATATGTATTCAGTAAGTACTGTAACTTGACCAGTACTCGAAGTTTTTCAGCATAGTAACTCCAAAAAAGCAAGAAGTGATAAAACCTGCATATAACATTAATTATAATAAATAAAATTTCAATTAAAACATAAAAAGTAAAAAGAACTAATTGAATAAACCAATGTGCTAAGCCAGAAAAAGATCAACCTCTAACAAGCGGCAAAGCATCACAATGGAAAACCCCCATAAGGAAGTCTTTTGAAGTCATTTACCATGATCTATTTGGCCGTATATTTCTTCCATCCACAAAATATTTCCACAATTGTTGCTTTCAGCAATAGCAAAAGGTATGAAAGGTTGGAAATTAAAGAGTATTTGTTCTAGGGGTGGACAAACGTCGGGCCAGGCCGGCACTACATAATAAAGAACTTTGAGTCTGTCCAAGCCCAACCCGGCCCTAACATCGGGCCTCGATATCTACCCAAGTGCAATCCAAAAAGTAATTAAAAATCCCATGTCCATCTATCGGGCTATATGTTAAAAAAATTAAATCATTCCATAATTAAATTCAATCACACATTATATTTCTTAAATAAATATATTAACATCATTATAAATTAAAAGATTTTGTATATAAATTGAAGGATTTCTTAAATAAATTCAATCACACATCACAACAAATGTGAGTTCAATAAAATCAACAACAATAAAGTTATATCCTAACAGGAAATATATATTTTAATGTATTATAAATAAATAATACATTAATTAATCTAAAGCCTCGTTTGGGAACAGGCTTTTTTAGTAACTTTTTGATTTTTTGGCTAAAATATGATGTAAAAAAAACTAATATGTTTGAGATGACTTTTTGACTTTTTACGAAAAGATGTGCAAAAAGCAAAGAGAAAATAAAATTTTTAACTTTTTGGTATAGGTTGTTGGCTTTTTAGTTTTTTTAGTAACTTTTTAACTTTTTGGCTAAAAAAGTCACTTGCCAAACGAGGCCTAATAGTGGGCTAAGCCAGGCTGAACTAGGTTGAAAATATAAATCCTAAGCCCACCCCATTAATATTTCGGGCTAAAAATATTGGCCTAGCCCGGCCTGGTCCTATGGGCTAAAACAACCTTCCCAAGCCCTAGAAAAATAGTGTTGGGTTAGTCGGACCAATGTGTCGATGTCTTGCATTTAGCATCTTTTGATCACATCATAGTAACCCACTTTCACATGTGCTATTTTACATAAGATCACAAATGGGATGAGCATCACTCTCAGGATAGAAAATAGCATCCAACAAAATTAGCTCGAAGTAAATAACACGATAACTTCTACAGGATGTAATTTTTTCCGAACCTTGTCTGCACTAATTTATATGTCTAATTTATTATGTGAAAACAAGTTTACCCTCATTGACCTTTTTCCTTCTTGAGCAGGGCTCGCCATTACAGGTATCAGCAGTATATCACATGATGTCACATACAAACAAGTGTCAGTATTAATAAATAATAGTACCCTAAAATTAAGTGCTTCCCTGCTTGGATATGATAACAAGATCAGGGTAAAAGACCTAGACGCAAGGAGGGAGAAAATTAAAAAGAAACAGGAAAAGGGTAATAATTGAAGCTTTCCACAAGAAAACTTCATATGGTACATGTAGACACATCTATGTATGCAATCTAAGTCACCGATCTGCGAAAGAGAGAGAGTGAGAGGGGGAGAGCATCTTGTCTAAAATAGTCCAAGAGCAGAAGCTCTTTCAAATGTCTATATACGTATAATATATATATTATACATAATACGAAAAATTTTAAAATTCTTTTATGTATCAATTTTTGTATGAAGTGACTAATTTTAATTAATATAAAATATGACTTGTATTCATTAATGTATAACAATAAAAAGAGCATATAACATTTACATGAAAGTGTAGTAGCCAAGTCACCAATTCAGGGTGCAGGTGCAGGTGTGGGTGCAGGGGTGCGAGAACAGGAGCTAGAACATGAGAGTGTCAATTTTCAAAATCCATAACGATGAGAGCGTCACAAGAGTGTTTATATTTTTATATTTTAAATATTTTATATTATAATATAACCAAATATTTTTATTATTAAGTATTTATAAAGATATTAAGCTATAAATACTTGTTATATATGTTTTTTTTTTTGTGTGTGCTTGTTTTCTATAATTATGATATATATATATATATATAATTTCATCTGTTCATTCAATAAAGTATGGGGGTTGGTTTGGTTGACATTTATCATGTTCAAATGGTAGATTCTATGCCAGGTGGTGATTTCAATCCTTATACTTTGCAATTTTATTACTTCTAAGTCAGTAATTGTGCGTGGGTGTGGCACGGGAATTACTTTAAGTCAGTGAATCATGCATGGTGCCACATGATTAGATGGATGTGCCAGTAAATAATTGGCTGCGCGAATTTATAAAAGGAATTCGCAAATCCAAACTAATGAATTCACAAATTTGCAAAGAATTTGAAGAAAAACCATCTATTAACGAATTCAATCCGCGTCCCCAACCTATACTAACGAATTGGGTGACTTCGTGTAGCAGCTTAGCAGCATATGCACTGCTTGTTTTCTTATTCATCTTAAGTCTGTTTTCGTACTCATCTACTTTTTATTCAAAGATTTCATGAGGAAGGCGGGGATAGTGTTACGTTGTGAAGTTCATAGCTCAACACGTGGCATATAATGAGTGGTCTAAACAAAATTCGCATTTGACTGAGAAATCCATGAATTTGATCAGATTTCACCCTCAATTTTGTGAACGGAAGCGTGATTTGGCACCCCTAACAGCCGAATTAGGTAACTTAGTGTGCAATTGCACACACAGTACTCATTTGTTCAATTGTCAACTTTTTCATGAACAAACAATATAATATAGTAAACTATTGTTTCTAATGATGGCGTAATGCATATGCAACATATCTACACCACTCTAAACAGTGTAAATACATGCCACCAAAATGGCATGCGATATACAGCTAGTGTGATATGGAAAAAGAAACAAATTTTAGTTTTGCATATCGTACATACATTTTAGCAGAGATGTGCATTAATTTTTGTCCACTGTTCGAATTAACCTTATGCTCCATTTGCTTCGATTAAAAATATATTTTGAAAATTATTTTCCACATTTTCTGCCCGTTTGGTTTCACACGAAATATTTATGGGAAAGAGTTTTAATGATGGGTTTAAATATTTACATCCCATAATTGAAAATCGACTTCCCAATCCAATTTGGTGAGCCATTTTCCTGAAACAATGTGGCTTCTTCAACCACATTTTCTCTGATTAGAAGCCTTTTAAGGATCAACCAACCATTCTTTACCTGTAAAATTACACTCAACCAAAGCTGCTTCTGTTCCCATATATACACTATCCAAAAAAAAATTACAACTTTTGGGCCTTTTCCCTTAAAAAAATATAATAATCAATGAGAAAATGTGACAGAAAAGCCGTCAAAAATTTTATTTTTCAATATCCACTACCAGCCACTGGAATCGTTCCGAAAACTCAGCAAAATTCACTACCATTTACAGCAAAATTCACAACAATAGTTACAAAACTCTTTTCATCGTCAGTGAAATTTAGAACAAAAAGACAAATAATCCAAGTAATGTACTTCAAAATTTTAAATTCTCATGAATTAGCTCAACCAAAAAAAAAAAAACCCTAGCAAAACCCACCTGTAAATACTGTGATTTTCCGGAGGAGAAGTGAGAGAATTCCGCAGCGACAGAGCACTTGGTGGTTTCCTCGTTTCCGGTGAGCTTGAAAGCCCTAGGATGTGCCAGGAAGAGCTGGTTGGATAGGAAAAGCAGAGAAGGAAAGAGGGGCTTGCAAGAACAACGACTCAGAGAAAATTCAGATGGAAAATTTTCTAGGGTTTAGCTGATTCAATTCAGAGGATGAGAGAGAGAGAGAGAGGAGAAGAAGAAGAAGAAGAAGAAGAAGAAGAAGAGACTTGATGATGACACCTCGGGGACGAAGTGTAACCGTCCAACCGGCGGAGTGATGACTGAACTAAGACAAAACAAAATTATTATTAGGCTTTGTTTGGTGTTCACAGTTCGAGTCGTAAAAAGTCTCATCGTTTGATGGTAAGATGAAGCTCGTCAAATTTTTAGGCTAGTTTAACTTAAAATTCACCGTTTTTATGTTAATTAGTCATATTTTTAATATTATTATATCAAACTCTCTATTTTATCTCAGTTTTATTAAAATATTAATTTATTATTGTATTTATTATTTTTTCTTTTTTATTAATTGATGAGGTGTTATTCAAACAATTTTTTAAAAAAAATAAAAAATAAAAAGTAAAAAATAAAAAATTTGTTGTTGACCGGTCAATTGGCGGGTCGACCGGTTAAGCTAATTTTCGGCATTTTTCCTTCTTTGCTACAGGTAACTCATGGACATCGATGGGATGTCCGGGGGACATTCGGGTGGACGACCGCTTTACAGTTTTTGACTCAATTTTCCTACAAAAAATATAATAAAAAAATCATATAACAAATGAACAGTGCCTCAACAAAGTTGTTGGGAGTACTGTAGCAAATCTAAGAAAATGTTAATTTAGAAAAAATTTGCTGAGGTTGATGGAGGGAGAATTTGTGCCTCTATATTTTAGTTTTTTGTTATTTTGGTGATCCTGATGCGGATGCTCTAAGGTTGCGTATATCAAATTTTTTTCAAATTTTGTTTATGTGGGAGTTTCGTATACTAGGTATGTCCTTTTTTGTTTGGCAGGGATGTTTTGGTTAAAAAATACAAAAGATAAAATAAAATAAGATAAAATATTACATCTAAATTAATATTTAAATCGTAATTATTTTACTTTTTTTTCACAAAAGTAAAAAAAAAAAACACCAAACTAAATAAATTTTTAATCTCAAGTTAAAATAGTCAAAAAAAATTAAAAAAAATCAACTAAAAAAATCAATTACCAAACAACAACTTAATTTCTAAGTTGAAACCATTTTTTTTTTTTTATGCGACTTTGGTTAGGGTTGGAGAAGAATTGGTTGGGTTGAATTTCAATTAAATTTTAATTTTAGGGTTGTTGAAATCTTTTGCTAGATAAATAGTTTTTGAGAAATTTTTGGTGTAAATATTACACCCGATAACTTAAAATATTTTGAGGCTTGAATAAGCAGTTAGTTTTATTTAATTCTTTTTTGTTTTGTATATATTGAAGAGTATTGTTAGAAATCTCAAATATTTTATTAAATATTTCAAGCGAGTATAAAGCTTATATGATTGGTAGAACGTGTTATAAAACATTTTGGAAGGTGAAATGACCATTTTATCCTTTAAACTATATAAACTGGTCATAAGTCCTGTAACCAACTCAGAACCCATTTCACCCATCTTCCATCATCTCTCTCATCTCCTGCATCTCTCAGTTACGGACTGAAGAAAGACAAATGTCGCTCACTGATCTGACTCCGGTGGACTTATCTTTGGTTGATCTCTCCCTTGAAGACCACACAACTGGCGACTAACTGCGACAGGTAAATGAACTAATCTGTTTCCAGCTTTTGCCGACTCTATTTTGTTGGTTTTCCATTCCGATCTTTAAGATCCTGCTGTGTTTTGCCCCGTAGTGATGGTATTTGGTGGTGGAAACATCGATATGATCATCATCTTTTTTTCCCAATTTCTTTTTTCTTCTACGACGGGTAATTTTTTTTTCCTTTGCCAAAACACCCCTGCAGAACACGAACTGCTCCGTCAAACTTTTGGTCATGCTGTTGTTGATGGTTTTTTTTTTTTCTCGGAAATTTGTTGTGTATAAGCCCATTTGTTGGTTTTTTTTTTTTTTTCATTTCGGCCAAAATCTGTTCGTCCATCAAACGTTATTGGTTAGTCATTTCTGTTAACTATTCTGATTGAGAAACTGTGCTCATAAAAGGCCCCTGCTGCTCATCAGATGATTGTAGACAGTTTTGGCATAAATACTGGAATAGGAATTAACTTTGGGTTCAATACAGTTCTTGTTAAAGTTTCTACCCAGATTTTTGTTTTCAACATTGTGGTATTGATTGACTAAAATTCAATTGAGAAACAATGTTTGACATTTATGTGAAAGTAACCACATTTTTTGGTTCGTATTTACTTAATTGAAATTCTGTATGTATGACAAGTAGGTTTCCATTTTGTATGAATCTGCTGTTTATACTTCCTCACGAATGCTTCATGTATGAGAAACCATGACATACCACGATAAATTTGCATATGCTTCTGTTGTTTGCCATGTTACTAGTTTAATTACTTGTCCCACATTTTGTACATCAATTTCATTTGAACTCACTTTTCAAATGTAATAAAATAGAAACACAGCTTAAACTTAAATAGAACTAGATTCGTAAATTATTCTCAATCCTGCAAACCAAACAAACAACCCAAACTGAAAGACCAAACTCTTTGAAAGCTCACAGTCAAACAAGTTGAAAAAATCATTATTTACAAATTTCAGTTGTTTTTTTAAAATTTAGTTGGATTCAATTTGTAAAACTATTTCACAATTTCTTACAAAATTTAATGTTCCCACGACTATGGACACGAACAAGATGGGGACTTTTGTAAACAAGTTTTCATCTCTTAATTGCCATTTTTTTCCTCTGGTTTGCTACCGTGTTCGGAAACAGTGGATGGCTTCCTTTATGTCCACTAGCACGTCAACATGACCACAGCGAATGTGTGCTTGCAGCTATGGCCATTGTTTTGTTAAGGTATCCAGATCTTACAAAAATTATGGTCGTGCATATTATGTTTGCCTCCGGCTTGTGGTGAGTAGTGTCAAATATGCTATTTCTAACTCCATTGAAGGGCAAAATAATTGTTCCATAACTAACTAGTGTTACGTTACTCATTAGCAATGTGTCAATTGGATTGGTTGGTGTGATGAATCAGGGAAATGGACCCCCGAGCGTGACTCATCCCCAAGTGAAGTCATGCAATTATGGGCTGATGTCGTGCAAATTTTTAATACCTTGTGTGTCATGAAAATAGTTATTTTTGTGTTATCCATAATGGTTATCATATTATTATTGCGTATGTAAAACCTCGTAACCACATCGTTTATGTACGTTTGATGTTTGTTTAATTAGTACATGACGTGACAAAACTAGACTATTGTAAATGCTACTTGCTGTTACTTATTATGTACAAGTTTTTTGGTGTATGTTTCATTTTCATTTTGCATATCGCATTTGTTCGTGAGATGTTGTCAAAATTTTCCGTTTCTAATTTATGTAACATGTGTAAAACACCTTCTACCATAACTAGTGCAATGGCTACAACGCATTCGTCCCCTCGAACACCGTCCAAAAATAAAGGGGTTGGACACTTCGCCAGTGAAGGTTTGTTGATTACATCGATCATTCACATAAAGCAACTTGGGACAGTGCATCAACCAAAATCTTCTTAGAGTGTGTTCGGGAGGAAATTTTAGCAGGCCATAGGCTAGGTACAACTATCATGGCTGTAGGGTATAAGGAAATTGCTGTGAATTCATTCAGCGCACGGGTAGACGTCATGACATGAAACAGTTCAAGAACAAGTACCTTGCTTTGAAAAAGGAATGGCAGGCTTGGAATAAGTTGATGGACAGTAGTAAGATTGTCACCGGCATTGGGTTTGATAAGGCCACCAGCTTGTCAATGCGTCAGAAGAGTGGTCGGAAAATCTAAAATCAGTATGTAACATGTTACATTTACTTGTATGCTAACAAATTGTTTTGTATTCCCTCATATGTCCATTTTTATTTTTTTTTAAGCTGTCCTTTTAATCAATTATTTGCATTTTTCATCTAAAATCATAGTTGTGTATTGTTTATTGCTTCTTCCTACTTTATTTGGTTGTTTGTTTTTGTTTTTATTTTGTTTTCGTTGTAGTCATTTACTTGTGTCTGTCAATTAAAAAATTAAATTCGCGATGTTCAATGATTCAAAAAATAAATTACTATTTTACTGGTTGACTTTGTTTTTTAAAATTTTTATTCTTTTCATTTGCAGACAAACAAGCTTGCATACAAGTTCAAGACTAAGCTATTGAAGCATGAAGATTTTATGCACGAAGTTTCCATAGGTGTAACCACAATTGGGAAACATCATTGGACCCCCGGCGAGCAGGTTACGAACATTGCGGATAGTGAATCTGATTCAGTTGACTCCCCTAGTTTGCAACCATATCGACAGGTGGTTGACTCACCTACACACTCCCCCACCGTCCAGCTGGATGATGCAGAGTAGGGGTCAAAGAGGAAGAATAGAGATAGTACAAGTGGCAAGTCGAAGAAGTTCTCCAGTGGCGCATTAGTGCTTGCGAACAGTTTCAACCATCTCTTGGTGGCAGTTCGTTCACAAAAGCACCTCACGGTCAGGCACGGAACTGGTGCATCTCAGAAGTGTGGCATTGAGGCATGCATGCAGAGGATTATGGCTATACGCAACTTTATCAGTACGCCTTTTTTCCATTTTGCCTTCATTGCACTGGAGAACGCAGATTATCGTGAGATACTAATGTGCATGCCTGATAATGGTAATGTGGTCGGTTGGCTTGCAGCATTGAAGGCTTCGAAAGAGCTGTGAGTCCCAGGGTTTGATGTTTTTGGGAGAAATATGAAACTGTGTGGTGTTTGTGGACATTAATTGTGTTGTTATGTTTATTTATTTTCCGTTTTTCCTAGCTTCGCTTTTCAGTACTGTTGGTTAAATTTTATGTTTTGGGTCAATGGATGCGAAGACTACGTGTTAAACATTTTATGCAATTGCGTATCCAGTAATGCTTTATGGAAGCATGGTTTAGGTATTAGTTTTGCTAAATTGAGAACTAGAATTGATATTCATGGAATGGATTACTGTTTTTGGTTGGTATACTTATGTGGATGTATGCATGGGTGTAAAGATTTTTCAGTTTTTGGCATATGTTTAAAATATGATAAGTTTACACATTCGAAATAATGAATTGTGTGTTGTGTGCATTTTAATGTGGAACGGTGCATGTAGCAATCTGTATCGAAATTACGACGATAACATAATTGAACACGTAGAAGAACAAGAAGACCAACAGAACAATGTAATCGTTGAAGTAGCGTGACATGCAATGGAACATTACATGAAGTACATGAAGAAGACCCTATGTCGCACTTCTATTTTGACCAGTCGTGCGTGGATTCCAAAATTATTTGTTGAACACTTAGGTAGGTGTGAAGAAAATTTGCATATGTCACTGTATGTGTTTCAAGCATTATGTGATACATTACGAAGGGACTTCGGTTTATGGGTACCTAAAAGACCCTATGGATTACACATTAAAGAAAGTGTTGCCATGTTAATCCATACCTTGCCCGGCTACAATAATTGAAACATTCAGGAGCGATTTCAACACTCGGGAGAAACGGTGTCTCGACATTTTCATGCAGTGTTAGATTCAATGAAGTTGTTCACTAAACAACATTATAAGCCAACAAGAGATCAAAAGAGTAGGTGTGTGGGTGAAAATCTGACCACACTGCCCGTTTAGTGATCAGCTGGAGAGCACAAGCAGAATAGATGGCTTAAACAACCTGAAACAGAAAGAAAAAGCTCCGGCGGTGGTTCTTCCACCCGGGGGCACTCCGACGATCAAGTCAGTATATCTCTCAAAGATAATCAAGTACTAAACTGAATACTCAAAGTATAAATTACATACCTTAGACCCACGGGGGTGCCTCTCTTTTATAATATACTCAATCCAAGTCCCAACATAAACCTAGTCCCAATAGAAGCCTAACTTCTATGGACTCAGGATTACTGCTAATCTTGGACTCCCAGTAAAATTAGGATAAACTCTCTAAGAGTCTTATCTTAATACAAACTGAAGTCTTCTCTCATTCTAACACTCTTGTCTCTCATCCAGGTTGAGTTCCATTTTCATTCTAAGACTCTTGTTCCTTATCCACTTATCTCAGATTCCGATATCTTCAGAGATAACCTCGGCCTTGCCGAGATCACCTTAGCGTCACAACCAGGACACGTGGCACTTCGGCTGACACGTCGGCGTCACCTTGCCACGTGTTGGTACTCAGAAAATATATCACCACAACTGCCCCCTAGGTTCTATTACTTCGGCATTCTGAGGTGATGGAATCTATTCCGAAATTTTGTTACTTCTTTTCTGAGTAATGTCTCAAAAAAATTGTTTAGCCAAGATTATCTACTTTTAGCCGACGTGTTCTCTTCGGAGAACGAGGCTTCGGTCGTACTCTCCCATGCGTATGAGCTGTCATGCGTATCTAACCGTTCCTTTTTACGTGCTTTGTTTTCATTGGAGCGTGTCTGAGACGCGCCTGGAAGCTGTCTGTTCGTTCGTCTTGCGCCGTCTGACGCGTGCGTTACCCTAGGCGTAATGATTGCCCTAATTTTGCCGCCGTTTCAAATTTTTGACAAAACTCTTTTTTGCCTCTATCTTTTCTTCACTTTTTCATTCTGTCTTCTTGTTCTTTCTCTCTCTGAAAGCTCTTTCTTCTTCGAATCTGCCATCGCTTCAATCTCTCTTCTTGAACTGCTCTTAATCCCTCATTCTTGCGAAGCCTTTTTTGCTGTTGCAACCAATTTCTGAGCTCGGCGAACATTGCCCCGGCTTCACTTGTTCCGGTAAGATTCATTCCCTTCAATGTTAATTTCTCTTTCTGTGCTTTTGTCTGCCTGTTGCCATTATGTGTTGTTGACGCTGATGGGGCTGCATCAGCCAGCAAGACAGCACATTTGTTCAGCTCAATCGCGCCATTAATATTCGATGCACAATCAGGAATGGCCAGTGCTTACAGAAATTTATATCCCATCAGTCACCACCAAACATTAAATACACCATCCTATGGAAAGAATTTTGGACAATTTACCATAACTCCCCTCCTCAAGTCTTTGACAATTCCTTGGATTTTAGGCCCCGTGACTGTGCGTCATCTGCATCAGAATCACTCCCTGAAGAGCTCCCCGAATCAGAATCTGCAAACAACCCACCGAGTAGTAAGCATTTTTACCAACAATTTCACTGTCACAGCCAAGGAACAAATTAAAGGAATGTAAAAAATACCACTTGACGAAGATGAATCACTGCCTGAGCTGCTGGAACTGCTAGAACTGCTGGAGGCATGGCCATTATCACGACCACCATCATCCTTCTCAATCTCCACAGGGGGGAAGCTGCTCATTGGCATCTCATCACCGATGTCCACTTCTTCCTCTCCACCCTCTCCTTTCTTCAGCTTCTTCACAGTGTCAGTTTTTTCACTCACAGAAAGCTGAAATTAACAAGAATTTATTAGCAAGACCGCATTGGAGGATCAGGCCGAGGCTGCAACGAAAGTCCAAACTTTAGCTCTTGAGAAGGCCGAGGCTGCTGAAGCCGTTAAAAAAGTAGCTGAAGCCGAGAAAAGAGAGGCTGAGGCTAGGAAGGCCCAAGCGGAGAAAGAACTCCAGCAGGCTCTGGCCACCAAAGAGGCCGAGGTAAAAGAGGCCGATGAAAAGGCCTATGCTCAAGGTATGGCCGATGTTGCAGAAGACTACAAGCTTCAAGTCAGGCAGGCATGCAACAGGGGATTTTCCCTTGGTTGGATGTCCTTGATAAAGAAGCTTGATCTTCCTACTGACTCGCCATTGCGCCAGGCCGACGCTATTCCTTTACCATTTCCTCCACCTCCTCCTGAAGGTGGATCAGAGTCTGAGGCCGAGGCCGTGGATGAAGATGAAGAAAAAGATGATGGTGAGGCCTTAGTGAGAAAACCCAAGAATGCTGCCGAAGCCAGGTCCCCTCCTCCTGCTGAGCAGGTTATGGACTTAACTCAAGATGAGGGGGGTGATGATGTTGAGGAAGTGCCCAGGGAGTCTGTTCAAGGGTATCTATCATCTGACCTCCTTCTGACTGAAAGAAGTCTTGACACGACATTGGCAGAGATAGATGCCGAAATACAAGCGGAGAAAGTGGCCGAGGAGATTCCACCTGAGTCGTCCGAGGTCCCTGTTCCTGCAGTGGTTAATACTGAAGAATCTTGAACATGTCTTTTTGTACCCTTTTTTCCTTCTTTTTCTGTACTTTGTACTTTGTACTTTTTTATTTTCTGGATAATGCAAAACTCCTTCTTTTGGCCGATGTGGTTTTTTCAATATGTAGCTGCAACAGTTCTTTCTCTGGATGTTTTGATCTTGTGATATTCTGTTGACTGCTTCTACATAGTCTTGTACTTAGAAAAAAATCCTTTGCATGTTGCTTCCTTTGTGCAATCTTCTCGGGGTTATATACCTCGGGTATAACCATAAAACTTTTACTTCGGCCCGATACTGTCCTGCAATCTTTTCATAAATTTCAACAAGTTTTAAACGGTTATCTTAATCTTACCTACTTGTAAATTGCTACAAATTTCAACAAGTAATGAACAATATACTTAGCCTTTATTTTAACCTGTAATTTTCTGTGTACCTCAACGGGTGATCGTATGTCGGCTTAACATAAACTTGTAAATTGCTACAAATTTCAACAAGTGTTAAGCATCTTCATTAGGGTTTAAACAACCCACACATTGCTATGAGAACTTAAGCAATAACCTCGGCCTATCTTCAACTTGTAAATTGCTACAAATTTCAACAAGTGATGAACAATATACTTAGCCTTTATATCAACCTGTAAATTTCTGTATACCTCAGCGGGTGATCATATGTCGGCTTAACATAAACTTGTAAATTGCTACAAATTTCAACAAGTAATGAACAATATACTTAGCCTTTATATCAACCTGTAAATTTCTGTATACCTCAGCGGGTGATCATATGTCGGCTTAACATAAACTTGTAAATTGCTACAAATTTCAACAAGTAATGAACAATATACTTAGCCTTTATATCAACCTGTAAATTTCTGTATACCTCAGCGGGTGATCATATGTCGGCTTAACATAAACTTGTAAATTGCTACAAATTTCAACAAGTAATGAACAATATACTTAGCCTTTATATCAACCTGTAAATTTCTGTATACCTCAGCGGGTGATCATATGTCGGCTTAACATAAACTTGTAAATTGCTACAAATTTCAACAAGTAATGAACAATATACTTAGCCTTTATATCAACCTGTAAATTTCTGTATACCTCAGCGGGTGATCATATGTCGGCTTAACATAAACTTGTAAATTGCTACAAATTTCAACAAGTAATGAACAATATACTTAGCCTTTATATCAACCTGTAAATTTCTGTATACCTCAGCGGGTGATCATATGTCGGCTTAACATAAACTTGTAAATTGCTACAAATTTCAACAAGTAATGAACAATATACTTAGCCTTTATATCAACCTGTAAATTTCTGTATACCTCAGCGGGTGATCATATGTCGGCTTAACATAAACTTGTAAATTGCTACAAATTTCAACAAGTAATGAACAATATACTTAGCCTTTATATCAACCTGTAAATTTCTGTATACCTCAGCGGTCTGTCCATAGGAAGTCTGTGGCTTTTTCTTAGGACTAGGTCGTCAACTTGAAAATCTCTTGGATTAACCTTCTTGTTGTAAGCTCTGGCAAGCTGTTGCTGGTATACTGCGAGCTGAATTGCAGCTTTCTCTCTTCGTTCTTCTAATAAATCCAGGTCTCGGGCTAAGAGTATGTCGTTGGTGCCATTCTCTACTCCCTGGGTTCTGATCCCTGGGATGCCGATCTCCAATGGGATGACTGCTTCTGTGCCATAGGCCATGGCAAAGGGGGATTCTCCTGTTGATCTTCTCGGCGTAGTCCGATATGCCCAAAGTACGTTGGGCAATTCGTCCACCCACTTACCTTTTGCTGCCTGCAGTCTCTTCTTTATTCCATCCAGGATTACTTTGTTGGATGCTTCTGCTTGCCCATTGCTTTGGGGAAAACTTGGCGTTGAGAAATAATTCTTGATCTTGAATTTTGCACAAAAGTTTTTGATGAGTTTGCTGTCGAACTGTGTCCCGTTGTTGGCAACAATTGCTCTTGGAATCCCAAATCTAGTGATTATGTTTCTCCAAATAAAATTCTTGACATCCACATCTCGGATTTTGGCAAGAGGTTCTGCCTCTATCCATTTTGTGAAGTAGTCTGTTGCTACCAGCAAGTATTTTCTTTGCCCAGTTGCTTGGGCAAGTTGTCCAACCAGATCCATGCCCCATTGGGCGAATGGCCAAGGGCTGGATACTGGGTTTAGGTCGGCAGCTGGTTGATGTATTAAAGGTGCAAACCTTTGACATTGTTCACACTTCTTTACATAGGCTTCGGCGTCCTTTTGCATGTAGGGCCACCAATACCCCTGGGTAATGGCCCTGTGGGCTAACGATCTGCCCCCTGCATGGCTTCCACAAATTCCTTCATGAATCTCGTAAAGGAAATCTTCAACCTGCAAAGGATGTACGCACCTTAAAAGTGGTCCAGTGAAGGACCTCCTGTAGAGATGGCCTTCCGCTGTTAGACTGAATCTGGCCGATTTCAGCCTAATTTTATGTGCTTCTTTATGGTCTTCTGGCAGCTTCCCCTATTTTAGGAATGCAATGATTGCATCCATCCAACTTGGTCCAAAGCCCACGCACATTGCTTCTCGTTCGGTGCTCTGTTTATCTATGCTCGGGGCCGACATGTAGTCGATCATAATTGTCCTTGTTTTTCCAGTTTGAATTGAGCTGGCCAAGTTGGCTAACGCGTCGGCGTGGGTGTTGTCAATTACCAGGAATTCCGTCCTGATCTTCTTAGTGTCGGCTTGTACCTCCAAGCTTGTTGCGCCCAGTGGCCATGTCGGCGGTCCATTAAAGCCGACCATCGGGCCGCTGGATTGTTCTAAGTCATCAGGGTGAAGGCCCAGCTCCTTGTAACATCTGACATACATGATGTCACAAGAG